CTGTCAAACAATAGGCCATTTCTGAATTACCTCTGGCCTCTGTCAAACAATAGGCCATTTCTGAATTACCTCTGGCCTCTGTCAAACAATAGGCCATTTCTGAATTACCTCTGGCCTCTGTCAAACAATAGGCCATTTCTGAATTACCTCTGGCCTCTGTCAAACAATAGGCCATTTCTGAATTACCTCTGGCCTCTGTCAAACAATAGGCCATTTCTGAATTACCTCTGGCCTCTGTCAAACAATAGGCCATTTCTGAATTACCTCTGGCCTCTGTCAAACAATAGGCCATTTCTGAATTACCTCTGTGAATTAAAAATTAAGATCATATGAAGGGATGAGCACCAGGACTCGCCTTGAAAAAGAAGCTAAAGGTAATTCAGAAATGGGCTATTAGCCCCCTGGTCATTGGGGGTTTTAATAAATTTTTTCATAAGCAGCTACCAATTGTGTAAGAAATAGATGTGCTTGGAAAGGGGCCATAAGGCAAAAACCAAACAAGAGCCTGCACATAGGCTACACAGACAGCCATAAGAAGTCTTGACCTATGGTAGCCTGATGGTAATAGGTTTTTAATGAAACCCCTAGGTCATATTGCATCCAGTGCATGAAGATTTAAGTGACAAAGCATGCACCCATTCCCATCATCTTGTACTATATATGCCGGCCCCTCAATTTTGTAGAGTCACATCTCCCCGAGTTTTTCCACAAATTCCTCTCATACTTGGCTACTTTATTGGAGGGTTTTCTTCTTTAAAGCAATGTTGATGAACTTTCTCTAACTGATGGGTCAAAATATGGAAATAATTGGAAAGGCTTTCTTGGAAAGCATTTTGCATACAGCAGGGACACTATGACATTAGTTATACATAGCAGGGTAGCTCATTTTTGTGGATATGAAAACTTTTAATCAAGGTTACCTATGAAGACATAAGCACTATCTTTGTACTGCTTGTGCCATGCTTGGCTATCCTCCACACCCATCTCCAACATCCTTTCATTCATTTTCTGAATGTTTTTTACGTTTCTGGGGATAGTAATACACTGATCACAAGAAATTTCTTTCTAAATTGACATGTACTCTCGCTACAAGCGCGCAGTACAACATTAACCAAAGTGTACAGAAGTGTTCTAAACCCGTGAATAACAGTTGGTCGTGAAATTCAGTCGTCCTTGATCAAAGCTCATTCTACACCATTTACCAAGGTGACTCTTATGCTAAATGAAATTACGAAGCGGAGTAATCAGATCTCGAAGGAAGATTGGTAAACTCATGCAAAACGACGCGTATTTCAAACCCGGACGAGTGAAACATTTTGAAAAAATGATCTTCACAAAGCATAAGCCTAGCTTTTAGAAGGTTGGTTGCCTTATCTGCCAACAGCATTGCACTACTGCTTAAATAGTGCTCTTTACTGCGAGGATCGTGCACAAATACGTTTATAAATAGGACTGGTAGAGGATAATCACTCACGTTAAAGGATTCATGGTTGTCTTAAAGCTTCCGGATCCTTTAACTACGATGCAAAAAATAGCGTTAGGCCAAGCTTTTAGGCAATGTTTCTCCTGCTCTTCTACTCTTCTTGACAAAATGGCGCCGATTCCACCACTGACCAATGTTGCGCGGACTCGCTTTATCTAACTTTGGTAAAGATGGCCGAATATGGGGATAGGGATTTCTTTCGAAAGAGGATTGCGTGATGAACGTGGCGAGATGTCACGAAATATATAGCATAAGTAAGGCAGATTGAAAGCCAGAATATTTGTCCAAACATTCCAACAGAATAATGCAAAAAAGTACCTGGACTGGAGGGCATACATCAACTGTTATTTCTGTAGACGTGAACAAAGAAGGTGTTGTAGCTTCAGGTGGTGAGGGAGAACTTACAGTCTGGTCAAAAGATGGGTCATCTCATAACAAACTCCTCTGTCCTTTGCCATCACTGACCCAGCCGAATGATTCGAAAGACATCAACGGTATCTGCTTTTGCGTGAAAAATCCAGAACGTTTATATGCATCATGTGGGAACAAAGTGTTTGGTTATGATCTCAGAAACCCGTCATCAGCTGTTTGTGAATTTGAATTCAACCCGGATGAAATTAACCAGGTAGCTATTCACGACAAGGGAGGTTTTCTTGCCGCGTGCGATGACAGCGGTGATATCAAAGTGATTGACGTGCAAGCAGGAAGGTTGTTCAAGACACTGCATAGTAGAAATGATAGCATATGTTCAACAGTTCAGTTTAGGCCAAACAGACCGTGGGAAATAGCGTCTGGGACTATGGATTACAGAATTGTCAGTTGGGACTTCTCATCTGGGAGAGCACTTCAGGAACTTAATGTCCAAGAGCTAGATGAGGACAGTTATGAAGGAGCCTATTTTCTCAACCCACCTTTTGTTCACTCTATTCATATGGCAGGAGATGGTAGGATGTTTGCAGCTGGACTAGGTATTAAAAGATACGTATTGATGCACAACAACTTTTAGTTGTTTATCACCATTAGAAATGTATGGAACATCCTCAGGGAGAGAGAGGTAGTTGTTAGTCTTTGCATGAAAGGGTTAAGGTTTCATCCCTTGCAGGATATTTCTTTTTTGAAGGAGGTGGGGTGGTAAAACACTTTCTCTTGCACTAACTCTTTCCACGAAGAAAACCAACATAATACCAAGGACAGCTTGCATTAGCACAACTTTACAAGCATTCCATCAAAAAGGCTGCAATCTGATTGGCTACACTGTATCAAAAAGGTTGCAATCTGATTGGCTACACTACTCATTATCTATTCCATTGTAGATGATGAGTTATGTAAGTTGTCTCACTATGCGCAGTTGTAAACCTATTCACTGAAAACATGAGCCCGTTTTCATGTTTAGGTTTGATTGCCAAGTATATTTATCCTTAGACAATCAGAATACACTTATCCTTTGCTGTAATGTTACAAACAACTTGAAAAATACAGTGTTCTTTGCAGGGAATGGCAACATCCAACTCTTCAGGTTTGAAGGCAAGAAAAAATTTGTTCTCAATGAGTGTCTAAAGAAGCATTCTTCCAGCATAACCCAGGTCCACTTTGCTAGATTTCGTCCAAACAACTTACTGGTATCAGGCGGAGATGACAGTAGGATTGTTGCTTGGAATTTATGCGGTAGTGCAGGCAGTGGTGCCTCAGGTCCAGAGCCCAATCTTGCAGCAAATGGGAGTGCTGTTAGCATTGCCCATGAAATCAACCATGGGTCCAAGATAAATTGGATAACATCTGGTTCACAGAGGGAAAGTATATTTGTGGCTGATCTAACATGTGACATCTCGCTGTACCATATATTATGACAGCTGTTGACATACATGTATTTGAGGTGGATGAGTGCCATGCTGGACCATAACAATTAAAAGAAACTATTTAATTAAAGGTGACACAATTACCGGTAAACAAGTAGTTTTCATCATGGCTCCTTCATTTAGGATGCTCAAATGGCAAGAAACAACCAATAAAATCAAACATGACATGATTTAAACCAAAGTGGCAGGAGGCAAACCAGTTGGCTGGTTACAAGCACAGAACAGCAGTTGAACAAGGGACTACACAAAAACAAATTCATGGGGGGTGGACTGAGTGGGATGTGAACCCTGGACCTTATCTTGTAATCAGACCTTCTAAGGCCAAGCGGTGAGAACGTTTCTGTTACAGTTACTCAGAAGGATCTGAGTACTAGATTACCCTGGACCTACACTTTCCCATGCTAACACCACAAGGAAAGCACAAAGCTGTCAGACAGCCACTACTCATCATTCTATTTGATAATACTCTCCCTCTTGTCTCCCAATTATTTATTCTCCCAACTGACTGTCATACATTTCTTTATAAATTAGTCAAGAGAATTCTATTGTTAATCAGGATAAAACCCTCAAGCTGACAAGCTTTTCTGTCCTCATAACCTGTTTGCAAGACAATATATCAGAAGAGTCCTTTTTACAGTTGTGGGCTTGATGACCAAGCCTTTGAACAAGAGTGAGGCTTCGGGTGACCTTGTTATGATAGAGATGTTGCTGCTTTTCAAATGCAAATTACTTTGTTATCATGCTAACTAGATACAGGTCTCTATCACAACAGGGTCACCCTTAGCCTCACTCCTGTTCAAAGGCTTGGCCACCAAGCCCACAACTGTAAAAGGGACTATTGCAATAAAGTAGCAAGTTAATCAGTTCTGGGAGTTATAAGGTTAAACCCTCAGTCTCTTTCACAAAAGGTACTTAAAAAAAAAAAAGTCTTTTTATAGGATTACACAATTACTGGTGAACCAGTAGTTTCCATTGTGGTCCTTACAAACAAATGAAACACATGGTCTAAATTGAACATAACATCATTAAGAACATCATTAAGAACCCCAACCAGCCAGAGGCAAACCAGTAGGCTATTTACAAGCGTGGCCAAGGATCTGAACTCAGGGCTACCGTGAATCAAATCCAGTGGTCAGGGTGGGACTTGAACCCGGGGAGCAGCGGATTACGAGTCCAACACTCTAACCACTCGGCCACACTGCCTCCTCCTTGGGCTCCTTTGGAGGAATTCGTGTCCTTGAATTTCCTCTGATAATCATGCTGATTTAAAAGAGGCGAAAACAATAATTCAAACCGTATACTTTTATTTTTGTTCTGGGTCACGTGACATTGGGCGTGTCCCAATGACATCATCAACAGGCTTGCACTCACTTTACACAACAACTGTCCAAAGTTAGTCCAACAATAGCGACATATCGTCAAGTTACAGCCAGCTAAATTTACTGTATCGAAACAATCGTGAGTAAACTTCAGGAAACTCAGATAAACAGGTGAACTTCGCGTGCAGTCCTGACGCTTGATTGTTTTTAGTTTGACCAATAAGAGCGCTTTCCGACTGAGTGTCGTAAAACCAAAACCAAAGTAATCATAAGGGCCAATCAGAAGAAAGGAAAATATCTTAAGAGTCAATGAGAACATTTAAAAAGTAAAACCGACCAGACTGCCAAAAGCGCGGGAAAACGCCAGCAAACAAGTCGTGAGTAGTTATGGTTTTGCATCTGATTGGTTGAGAGAGCTGTATGATTTTCTTCTGGACCATTCACAAATGGAAATAAATAAAAAAGAAAGCAATCCCAGATTACTTTCAACTCTCATTTGGAAATTGCTCTTAAATTAAGTTTACCAATCTCTAAAAATGGTAAATGGCTGATTTGTACTTTTGTTTAAAAATATATATCTTAAAATCATGTAGGTGCCTATATCTAGTCGGAAAGCGGCCGAATAAATCAGCTTCTGTACCGTATTACGTCCACAGTGGGGTGGTGCAGACTGAAAAACAATATCTTGTATACTCGAAATGCTCGTGGAAAAGGAAACGGATCGATATTTTGGGGAGTTCTGGTTAACCGATGGTTAATGACCAGATGCGTACAGCCTTGTATGATTCTGTAATGACTGAAAATTGCTCTTCACGCAAAGTGTCCTAAGTTCAAGTTTATTTCAGTTCGACTTGATATTCCCAGAATTACAACACTATCTGAAGTACTCTATTGAACTTCTTAAAGCTGAAAATCTATATAAAGCGAGGTGTCCCACTTTCATATACAATTGAACGGATGAGATCGAAGAATTCGGTGTCGATTATTTTGGACCCGCCTTTTGTAGTCAGAAAACTCATTTGAATCACAAATAGTTTCTCAAATTAATATTCATATTTGCGCTCAATCTTGCACGTGGAAAGAGAAATTTGAGTGTCTTTTTAGCTTCTTTGGAGTCAAGAAACACGCCACATCGACCATATTACCTTGGATATTGTCTGTTTTGTTCCGGTCAGCGAATGTTTCTTATGCTTGATCAAGTGGTCCCGATAACATGTCGAGAATTCATGCTTTACACTTTGTTAGGACTTTTCTTCAGGTAAATAACCTATGGAGAGATACATTTGAATAGAAATACAGTGTTGATATTTCTCGTTGCGGCTCTTTTAAAAATTATTTACAGAGTCATATATAAGAAGGACGAGGGTAATACACATAGCTCAGTGTGGGACAAATCCTCAGGGGTGTCCGCCATGACGGTTCTTTTTAAACATGACTTTAACCGTGGCAACGCGAGAAATTCGTAATTTATTGTTAGTCCGTGTAATTATCGCGTAATTATATTACTTATTTCTCTTTTCTTTCCTGTACATACATTTCAATTAGCTTTTCTGATCATAGTGTGTTGAACTAGAGTGTGTTTTTGAAGCCCTTCAGTTGTTCTTTCTCTTACCCCTCAACTACGTCAAAGAAGGAGAATGTAATCGTGAAAACGTTTTAACGTAAACTCCAGTTTCTGGTTACCGGTGGATTGGCTCCCATCTTTTGTGCAGAGGCCGCGGTATTAAGTTGTAACTGCGAAACGTAACTATATTGAAAGAACGTATAAGATTGTCACATACCCATATCTCCCATATAGTTCTAAGGTAAAAGGCCAATAGCTAAAACTATCTAGGTTATTCCCAACTAATTATACGTTTTGTTTTGGAATGCTTGATGATAGGTTGTTACCAACAATAAAATTTCGTAACTGCTTTGTTCAGCAAGACTAAAGAACATTGAATTTGTCAGCAGAAGATGTGGTGGCTCTAAAACAGTTTTTTTTGTCTGGATGTTTACCTTTATCAATTAGATTGAAAAGCACTTATTTATGTACCTCTTCATCAAAATGTCTCTTTTTTCTCCATAGGGCAGTGTCAAAAAAAAAATGAGAACCGATCTCGAAATCAAGAAAGTCAGTGATAGAAGTAAATAAATATATGACAACTTCAAAGAAGGTGAGATCATTGACTTTTTTTATAACAGATTAGCTATCTAAATGTACTGGACCTATTCGTCTGCATTGAACGATTTAACCTGGATTTAGCGAATGTTTGCAAATCCAAACTAACGCAGTCGATAATGAAAACAACTGCAAACTAAGAAATGAATCAGTTTCTTCACTGTTTGATTTCTTGGAGATCTTTCTGATTAAGGTGGCTTTCAGTTGTTTTCAGCGGTGTTCGTTTCATGAATTCATTCTACCATGAACACTTTCTATCTGTTTTACCAGTGTCAAAGAAATACCTTGTCATTACTGTTGATGTTATAAGTATCCATTTGGCCTGATCAAGTTTACAGCATACAGTTAACAACAGTTAAGCGTGTCAAACTGTCTTCAATTTCTAAGGGTAGAGAGAAATTGCAAGAATGATATCGATCATTCAACTTTTCCTAAATATTTTTTAAGAGATTTCCCACTAGAAAAGTGAAGATATTTTTCGACTTATAAGCATCTGGCCAAGCATGTTTTCATATCTGCCTAGGGACTCATCCAGGACCCTGAATCTGACGACTGTTGCATTTGAATTCAGTCCTCCTCGAATCAAAGTGATTAAGTGAATGTAGCCTGTCTTTACACAAGGATGATTACCACTTTTGTGACTTCCAAATAAAGGAAGAATATATATATATTTTTTGGATTGATTAACTTAGCAAGGCAAACTTTATTCAAGAGTATATTGATTAAAAAGGAAAGGGAGTCGCCGAGCTTATTCATTCGCTGACCAATTACAACAGATACTAGGCCGGAGAGTTTTCTTGCAAGGCATCCTGTTGTTGTATCAACATGACACGCCAGGACGATGGTCATAAAATGTTAAAGAAAGCATTCATTTGATGACAAATCTTGGTCAACCTGAAGCCTGAATGTCTCGGCTCTTGAGGCTATACAAAAATTAATATGCTCAGGATTTTCTCAAACTAAATTATAAAATTTTGTTTCAGGTCTCTGATAAGTTTAGAGTCTGATTATGTCTTATACTATAAAAATCTTAGAGACTAATTATTAAAAATGCATAAGCTCTTAGGGCTAAAACCAAATTCGGAAAGTATGTTCCATGTTTGTTTCTCAAATTTTTCTTAGATTTATTATCAATTTATATATAATTTCATTCCGAAATGACTTACTTGAAAATATTCAAGCCGATGTTTGAGCTCTTGAGCTAGGCTACGACCAAACTGAACAGTATGCTCAAAAGTTGGTATGTTTCTCAAATTACCTCTAGAGTTTTTCATTAACTTCGAGATACGGTACTTTTTTAACGTGATTCAATATAAATCTTGAAGCAGAAACCAGTTGAAAGAGTACGTTCAAACATTGATAATTTTTTCTCCAATTTTTATTGAAGTTTATCTTCAACTAAGATAGAACCTTTTTGACGTGTTTCAGTACCAATCATGGAACCTAATCATTAATGATGTCTGAGCTCTTAAGACATAAACAAACTTGAAATAGACTGTTCCAAAACTTGATTTTTGTATCTTGAGAAGCCCATTACTTGGAGCTTTCAACTCCCATACGGAGCCTATGTTACGGCATTTTCACAATTTCCCGAGAAATTAACTACGCGCTAATCGTGATTGGTCGAAGGGCTTCCGTGGGGAATCCCATTTCGCCGCTGTAAATTCAAACTAAAAATAAACTTGTCTGTTAAATCACAAAGGGCAGCTGAACGCCTCGAGCGACTCTTACGCTTCTTTCATGCTTAGCAACCTCCCGCGTGCATCCATAACTCAATAGTGTACGCTGTGGTGTTTACCATTTGTTAAATAGGGACCTTAAGAAACCACGATGGCGACGGCAACGAGGACGTGGAAAACAAGAGATCTAATTGGCAGAACA